CTTGGTTCCTCAATGGCGGTAATCTTGACTCTTATCTTAATGGCTCTTGGGGTGCCTCTCTCAATCTCAAGAACTCGCGTAAGCTAATGGAAGACCAGTTTGGCTATAATATGGCCATGCAGAATGATTCTCAGGAATGGAGTGCTGCACAGGCCGAGCTTTCCCGTAAATTTGACGAGCGTATGTCTAATACAGCTTATCAGCGTGTGGTCAAGGATCTGAGGAAGGCCAATATTAATCCTATGCTTGCCATTACCAACGGTGCGGCCTCTTCTCCCCAGGCTCCTATTCCTTCTGCTGGTACTAATAGTGTTTCCCCAGGTCCTGCTACCTTTAAAGGCGGTGAACTCGGTAATACCCTCTCCGGTGCCGCTTCCCTGATGGGTGGCTTTGGTACTATTGCCAAGTTAGGCTCCGAGGTTTCCGTTAACAATGCCCATGCCGCTAACCTAGAAGCCGATACCGGTTTGAAGGCCGCTAATACTGCTATGGCAGAGCAGAATATTCGCGAGTCTCAGGCCCGTAGTCAGATGTATGTTGCGCAGACCAATCTTGCCAACAAGCGCGCCGGACGCGAAGAAGCCGATACCAAACAGCCTGGTGTAGTCGGACAAGGTGTACGAGCTATGCAGAACACGGCTAACGATTGGCTTGAGAATGTCAAGGATCTCGGCGGTAATATCGGTAGTTCTGTTGAGGACCTTTGGAACAGCGCGAAGTCCGCTATTGAGCGTCTTGAGTCTTCCGGTTCTTTTGATGGCAAGTCTAGTCCTGGTAAAGGTGGTCACAATGCAAAGAAACTTATTGACCTTATGCAGACTATGCCTCGTCTTCGCTGATTGTTCCACGTAGAACATTGTTTCACGTAGAATAAAAATATTTTATAATCTTTGCTAGTCCGTTGTAATTGCAACGGACTTTTTTTCATTCTTTTGGTATAATTGCGGCATCTTGAGTGAAAGGAGTACACTAATGGCAAAATCTAAAACTGAGTTCGTTATTCAGATTTGGCAAGATAACCTCCATATGTGGTCTGATGTTTCCTCTTCTCATGACCTTGTTCGCCATAAGGACATGTGGGATTATCTTACTCAGAAGTATGCAGCCGAGCCGGATAAGCGTTTTCGTCGTGTTGTCCGTCCTCTTCCCTCTGATGGTCATACTTTAGTCTTTGCCTGGTAATATGTCTGACTGTTTAAACCCCACCTCATGCTGGTTCATTGGTGTCGGCCCGTGTAAGCGTGATGGTATCATTTCCCCGATTCTCACCTTCTCGCCTAATAAGGCAAGAGAGTATCTTCGTAGTGTCGGACAAGATGAAACTATGTTGGACGCTATAGGACATTCTGTGCCATGTGGCAAGTGTATTAATTGTCTTGTCAAGAAGCGTAAGGATATGTCCGTGCGCATCACTAAAGAAGCCGTAATGACCAATGGAGCTTGTTGTTTTCTCACGCTCACCTATAATGATGACAATCTCACTAGGTTCTTTCCTGAGATTGGAGATGATCGGCCCTGCCTCGTTAAGAAGGATATTCAGGACTTTATGAAGCGTCTTCGCCGTCACTTGGAGTATCATGACATTGTCCCACCTGGTACACTCCGTTACTTCGCCGTCGGTGAGTATGGTCCTACTACGCATCGGCCTCACTATCATATCATTCTCTTCGGTTGGAAACCTTCCGACATCACTCTGCAGAGCGTCAGCAAGTCTAACCATCTCCTCTATACCTCTAAGATCGTCGGAGAGTGTTGGAAACTCGGTTTTCATACAGTTGAAGACTTCTCGCCTCAGGCCGCTAGGTATTGCGCTCGGTATGTCACCAAGAAGCTCACTAATACGCATAGCTCAGCCCTTGACGGCCTTCCTGATGAGTTCTTTCTTGCCTCTAAGATGCAAGGTGGAATAGGTGCTCCGTGGTTTGATTGCTTTGGCAGTCAGGCTTGCGAGACCGGTATTACTGTCATAGAATCCGGTAACCATCTCGTCCAAGTTGCGACTCCAGCTTACTTCTTTGATCGGTTGCGTAAACAGGACCTTGCTTTTTGGCTAACTCTCCGTGCCTCTCGCCAGGCATATGCCATTGAACACGCTTCCGAAGATAGGACTGTTGACAGTTCTCTCCGTAAAATGCTATACTCTCAATATCAACTAGATAAGGAAAGGAAACAGTCCACACTATGAAACGATTCAAGCCCAATCAGGCGCGTTCTCGCCGGCTCTTCGCCGCGACCGCGAACAAGACCCATGTCAAGAATGTTGCACCCGCTCCCATGCGTGGCGGCATCCGTCTGTAAAGGAGTACCCATGTCCAAGATCAATCATTGTATAGCTCCTAAGAGCGTCACCTTAAAAGCGCAGAAAAAAGCGCATAGCGGAGAGGAGCGAAGCGACCGGAGCGTAGCAAAGGCTGTCCGCGCCCGTCTTGAACCGGCTAATCTTGTTCGGATGTATTCTTTCAAGAATGCTGTCGGGCATTTTTCTATTCCCTTCTATGGCCTTAATGATGAAAAGGCCCTAGAGGCTTGGAAGGAGTGCGTTAAGCTCTATGGTATCGCAAATGTTGGCGATATCTATTGGTGCGGATGGTTCAACTATGAAAGCGGAAAGTTCATCTCTCAGCCGCCTAAGGTTGTCAAGGAGTAACCATGTTCTTTACTATATACAAGCGTCCACCGAATCCCGTCACCGAGTGTGACGGCCCTTCCGCTACCCGTCAGGAGTTCAAGCGTGAGTGTGATATCAATTGCATTCTGCATGATTACCAGATTACCGGAAAGCTTCCTGATAGGCCAGAGCCGAATTACGGCGACTTCACCTCTGTACAGGACTTTGCTACTTCTCTTGAGCGCGTCAATGCCGCTAAGGATACTTTCCTTAATCTGCCTGCAGAGGTCCGCGCCAGGTTCGGTAATGATCCCATGAGCTATTATAGCTTTGTCCTTGATCCTGCTAATGTTGAAGAGTGCGTCAAGCTAGGCCTTGCAACTCCTCATCATAAGGAAGAGTCCACGTTGGATGTCCTTAAGGGCATCCGCGACAGTGTCACCCCGAAGGGGACGGCCGAGCCTAGTTCGGCCGTGTAACGCCATATATATACTTGTCTAATATAGGCGTTACTGACACAAACCCAAAACGCTAGTCAAACCCAAAACCTAAAACTATGAAAGAAAAAATCAAATGCGTAATTATCGCAGTTTTAAAGGCGGCACTCGTTGCCGCTCTCACCACTCTCGGTATCAATACTACCGGTTGCGTCGCTGTCGGTAAGAATCCCTCTTCTCTTACTGTTTTTGAAAGGAATTACTAATTATGAAGTCCGTTATGTCCCACGATTTTAGCCGAGCCGCTACTACCACGGCGAAGCGTTCTACCTTTGACCGGTCCCACGGTCTCAAAACTACCTTTGATTCCGGATACCTTGTGCCTATTGAGGTTCAGGAAGTCCTTCCGGGCGATACTGTTCATATGGATGCGACCTTTCTCGCGCGTACTGCGCCTGTGGTTACTCCTATTATGGACAATGTGTTCATGGATATTCATTGGTTCTTCGTGCCGTCTCGTCTCGTTTGGAACAACTTTACCAAGATGATGGGTGAGCGTACCTCGCCCAATGATAGCATTGACTATCTCACTCCGCAGATTAATAGTGGTAATGGTTTCGCTACCGGTTCGCTTGCCGACTATTTTGGCATTCCTACCAAGGTCAAGAATCTTGATGTTAGTGCGCTCCCGTTCCGTGCTTATGCCAAGATTTGGGACGATTGGTATCGTGATGGTAATCTTCAGGACTCTATTATCAAGTATCATGAAGACCTTGATGATGGCAACCCCCACAATATCAATTGGAACACCCTTTTGAAGCGTGGCAAGCGTCACGATTACTTTACCTCGGCTCTTCCGTGGCCTCAGCGCGGCGAAGCCGTACAGATTCCGCTCGGCTCTCGTGCAGATGTCTACGGCACTGGTCAGCCTATGTTTGTCGGTGAGGTTAGTGCTTATAATCAGCCGCATTCCATCAATTTGCATAATGGTACTAAGGATTTTGATCTAGCTACAAATGCCTCCGTTACCGGTAAGGCTTCCTTTGCCACTAAGGGTGAGCTTGGTTCTAACCTTCCGTATCTCTACGCTGATTTGTCTACCGCTACGGCGGCCACTATCAACAGTCTCCGCATGGCCTTTCAGCTTCAGCGTCTCCTAGAGACCGATGCCCGTGCGACAGGAAGCCGTATCTGCGAAATCATCCGTGCGCATTTCTCCACGATCTGCCCCGATGCGCGTCTTCAGCGTTCCGAGTACCTTGGCGGCTCTTCTCAGCAGATTGCCTTCTCCACTGTTACTCAGACCTCCGGAACTACTGACGATACTCCTCAGGGCAACCTTACCGCAAACGGCAAGTGCGTCTCTCATTCTGGCTTTACCAAGTCCTTCTCCGAGTGGGGTTATATTATCGGCCTTGCCTCGGTCCGTTGTGACCTGAACTATCAGTCTTCCCTCAACCGCATGTGGTCTCGCCGTGGCCGTTATGACTACTATTGGCCCGTGTTGCAGAATTGCGGTGAACAGGCCGTTCTCAATAAGGAGATTTTTGCCCAGGGTGCTGATGTTGTTGATCCTGAGACCGGCGAAGCCGTTGATGATCAGGTGTTCGGATATCAGGAGCGTTATGCTGAATACCGGTACAATCCTTCCTTGATTACCGGAAAGATGCGTAGTAATGCTACCGGCTCTCTTGATATTTGGCATCTCGCGCAGAAGTTCACTTCGTTGCCGAAGCTCAATGCTTCCTTTATTCAGGAGAATCCGCCTCTTAAGCGTGTAATCGCGGTTCAGGATGAGCCCGAGTTGATTCTTGATGCCTACCTTGGGCAGACTTGGACCCGTCCCCTCGGTTGTTACTCTATTCCTGGTCTCATTGACCACCTGTAAGCGTTACACTCTCATAGGTTAGTGATGGAGTTTTGCGGTATCTCCTAAAAAACCGCATTTACATCTTATGGGTTTTCTTTCCAATGCTATGGATGCCGTTGCACCTGGTCTCAGCTCGTTCGGTAAGGATGGAGCTTGGTTCCTCAATGGCGGTAATCTTGACTCTTATCTTAATGGCTCTTGGGGTGCCTCTCTCAATCTCAAGAACTCGCGTAAGCTAATGGAAGACCAGTTTGGCTATAATATGGCCATGCAGAATGATTCTCAGGAATGGAGTGCTGCACAGGCCGAGCTTTCCCGTAAATTTGACGAGCGTATGTCTAATACAGCTTATCAGCGTGTGGTCAAGGATCTGAGGAAGGCCAATATTAATCCTATGCTTG